ATGTTCTCGTCAATAACACACGCGTCATACAAAGCATAACATTTTCAAACTTTTGACTTGTTAGGACTAAATATTTTCCTCTACAAAAAACAAATGATATTTGATAGTTACGTTTTTTTGTATAAACAACCGAGTGGTCCTGTCGAGTATGTACAAGGTTGGGGTGTTGTAAATGAATAGATCACGTGAGTTGTAAATCCAGCAATATAGTAGAGGGGGTGGTAAGGCTAGGTAGAAGGGGAGGTTTTCGTGGCGCGGCCGATTTCTCAAACTTGAAGGCCAAAGTGGCGGGAAAACTCCCCAAACCCGCCTGTTATGGTAACGTGTGGTCAGCTGTATTGATAAAACACCCAGACGAAACTTTCACCCCCTCCACAGTATCAACCCCTAAATTCCTGAACAGCTAATACACAATCAGAGCTTTAGGCTGCACTAATAGTTTACGTCCTACACTCATTCAAATGAAAAATATCGATATATAGATTATTCGATATATCGATTACTTCATTCGGTTAGTTAGGTTAGGTTTCAACCTAAGCTTGATATATCGAATTAAATAATCGATATATCGATCGATATATTCATTCAGTAGGACGTAAACTAAAGTGCAGCCGAAACGCATTATATGTTTAAGTATGACGTAGATTTAAAATCGCAGCAAACTATGTAAAATTCCAAGGTGAAAGATTTAACTTCAGAATTTCACAAGAGAACTTTTGGAATTCAAATAAATAACTGAACTAATTGAATTACAATAAGTCATGTGTTATAAAATATCATAAAACCCAAGCTATCATGAATAACAGTTAATTTGTTATGTATTAATAAAACTATATTAGTATAAATAATATACAATTAAAGCAATTATACTCAAATTATAGGCTATAATAAAATATGAAAGCTGTGAAACGCATTTGCACATAAATAATAAAATCATAATGGGTTTAGCTTATTCGGCAGTAAAGCCGAAAAGCGAGCTTTATGTTGAAAACATTCTGGAATATCGTTAAATAAATTATCGTCGTAACGATTACCAACTGCGCGGAACAAAATAGAGGCAAACATTTTGTTGGTAGCCCTGCTTACCGGGTTGTTTATAAATATTATATTAATCTGAAAACAGGTAGCACTTTATTTTTGTTTCTATTGATGTTGTTCCATTATTTATACATTAGTAAATTGTGGTATAACTTGTTTTCAAGGACCTAATTACGTTTATGGCTAAATAACTTGAATGGGAAAGGAAACAGTTTGTTTGGGCAAGGAAAAGTAATGTTTGAGACAGGACAAATAAGGTTTTCATAGAATGGAACTTACGACAATTTTCGTAGACAGTAAAGAAAGATTTTCATCGACCTAAAATTAAATGGCCCACTATAAACAAGTAGTTAACAATACACACCAGTGGTTAAAAAATTACTTGTCTCGAACAGAAAATGGGATAAACTGAAATATACGATATTGAGATGGGAAATTTGGCAACACTGCGAGATATAACTCTTGCAGACGACGTAGAAAACAGCAATGAACGACGTCGCCGTGTCGGCCTATGTTAGCTCAGGTTGGAGGTATAAAATAGTGTATGTTCAATATTACTTTCTTGCAAACTAAACAAAGACATGCTCAAATAAGATTTTCTGAATTAAAAAAATATATATCAAATTTATAAAGGTGGAAAATTTACACAAACACATTTCCGGGCAACAATACTAATTTACGTGAAAAAATATGTTCAACATTACTTGCTTTTGGAAACTAAACAAAGACATGCTCAAATAAGGTTTTCTGAATAAAAAAAAATATATTATATAAAATTTATAAGGTGAAAAATTTACACAAACAGATTTCCGGGCAACAATGCTAATATACATGAAAAATAAACAGAGTTCTACATTAACAAGGTATTTTATAGCTAATTAAAACATTATTTGCTTCCTCGACCAAAATTATGTATGGGGTCGTGTGTCGGGGTTTAGGGGATGCCAGGGGTTGCCTTATCTTGCCCTCATCCCCCACCTGGGGTCGGGACTCAAAAACACGAAGGGGCTTAAAGAAATCAGCCCTTACGTCAAACATAACAATTGGGATGAAAGAAATACTGAAGTCGTTGTTTAGGGGTTGTACGTTCCATTGTGGTGGCAAGGCACAATAAATGATTCGTTTTGTTTTCGACGGAGAATATAAATTGTGGTTACGTGCTTGGGTGTCAAGAGAAAGAAGTAAATTGGTTATGGTATAGTGAGATGGTTTAATCATCGGGTGGTAGTATGTGTTTTTGAGCTGTAAAATTTAAAAATATAACTATTGAGGGCGGAACTGACACTAGGATCCAAAAATCAAATGTTGCAGGCTTAAAATGGTGTATCAGTTCAAGATGGTAAATTAGAGAGCGTTGATTACTCTTTCGTTCGAGGCACCAAAACGAAATGGTATTGGGTGTGATGCTAGCCTAGTGCTCTAGGGGTTAGCGTCTCGGAGTTCGGTGCATGCGTGTGCTCCCACTATCTCCGCGTTCCGCCATCTCCGAACCCAAATCTGTCCCGCCACCTCCGAATTCTTGAATGACCCTTAAAATCCCGTCACTGCCTGCGTTGTTAGCTGTCATTGCATCCACGGCTGCGATCCTACTTAGGTTAAGTTAGGTTAGGTTAGGTTTGGACGGAAAGTCTTAACGCAGGTAACCGAGGATTATAGGGGTCACTCTGAAATTCGGAGGTAGCGGTACACGGAGGTGGCGGGACGCGGAGATAGCGGGAGGTAACCGGTGCATGAGGACAGTTTTGATTCCCGGCACACCCACAAATATGGGTGCACTCGGAACAGCCGCGGTGTGGTGTCTACGGGGCGACCCAGACTGAACATCGTGCGTTGCAACGAGAGCCCGAGAATGGGGACCGACCCAGACTTTCCCCAAAACGCGTTAGTATCTCCTCTACACCTCATTGAAAGATTCCACAGGCGTAGACAATAACAACAGCAATACACTGTCATAAAATAAACATCTAAAAATCCAATCTTGGTTTAAAACGAGATTTGCAATAAGATTGACATGCAAGGGGGTGGTATTGCATTTCAAATATGCTGCTGTGATTTTCGAATAAATCAAAACTAATGCTATTTATCTGCAGTTTAAACCTATTGAATAAGGTTATGTTACCTAAGTAAATGTCAAGAAAATGAACTACGTACACATGCTAATAACAGACATACCGTTACAACTACTTTGACGTTTCCAACTGAAACAACCTGGGTGAGAACCTTTCAGTGTCTAATGAAACCCACAGAGACAATTGCGGGGTTTAGGCAAATGTCGCTCGGTGGGAAATGTTGGCTAAACTCGCATAAGCTCAACAATATGAGCCGTTTAACAACAACTCCCTACTTACATGGTCAGGGATTACTAGCAGACGTTAGGATTTGGACACATAAATGGTAGCTGAGCCTTTAATGTGTTCCTGTAACTCTAGGCTGTTTAGTCGATATGTGGGTTTGTAGATTTGTCACGGACAAAATATTTTTTGGAGTTATTTGGGAGATTTATTGTATTATAGACGGAATACAGCGGTTTAGAGAAGTCAAAAGAAAAGAATGAAAGTAACTTGTACTTTTTATTTTAATCGATAAGAGATAATTTACTATCTACTAGAAACAGACAAAATGCAAAATGGATCAAGTTAATACGAAGAAGTAGAAAAACATTGTAAAGGTAAAATAAAAGGACAGTGATGAGATAAATTGGAAACAAGGCTTAAATTCCAAGAGAAAAAAGGAGTAGAAAGCCAAAAGAACGACAAAAAGAAGGATTGAGATAATAAAGGATAATACAACAAATAGAGTAAAAAGAAATTTGCGGAGAAATGAAAATGATAAATTGGATAACATTTGTTTGATGGTGACATAAAATTGTGTGTGTTAAGGCGGAAAGTACTGAAGAATAGTTTCAAATGAGATGAGGAGTTAAGGTTATCTGGTTCTTTAGTCAGAAAAAAAGGTTATAAACTTTAAAAAAGGCTAATGATCAAGGACGACTGAGTTCAATTTCTAAAATTCAAAAAGCTTCTTTATTTTTCAACCATGATAGAACTGGTATCCCTTGCTCGCTGGATAGAACTCGCTCAAGACAAAAAAGATACAGGACAGAAGATGGAGTAAGCAAGCAGAAAATTTGACGAAACATCAAAAAGAGTACCGTATAATCAATAATAAAAATACCCCCGCCGCAGCAAACCTGCCATTTTCCATTTGTCTTAATTGATTTTCAATTAAATATATTTTAATAACATTAGGTTTAACGAGTACCTAGGTTTGCTGCTACAAGGAAACTAATAAAGTGTGTTTTTTTGTAAAATATTGATAGCTTAGTACAAAATAAATAAATTTGATCAAAATACAAAATATATCCATAAGCAAGCAAACTACAACGTTTGACAATATTCTCCATAAGAATAACATGGAAATTTTAAATTTACAATTTTTTTAAATTTCTCCGTTACTATTAACCGAACAAAAATACTTTTTTGTATACTAAATTAATTGTTTTTTAAGCTCTTTAAAAAGGTCTAAAGAGAAATTGGGAAATTTTGTGTTTTGAGGGTCAAAAGTGAGAAAAACCAATTTTTACCCCATTAAACCCCCCGTAAAGCCCCGTTCCCATGGTCCGATCATGCTGGTTCGCGAACTCATTCAAGTTTATCCCGCTTTACACCTTTAAACCAAATTTCATCAAAATCGGACAAAAATTACTCAAGTTATCGCGTTCACGGACGTATATATATATAAAAGTCTATATACATATATAACAATTTGAACGAATGGTGTTTTTGGCCTCTGGGGACATCAAAATGAAAAAATAAATCGGTCCCGGGCCTAGGTCTTACCGTGCCACCTACGGTAATAGCTACTTCCCTATAGGGAAATTCGCTAAAAGTAGAGTTTATCCACAAACTTTGACTTCCGATATTACACCAAGAGGTCCAATTGAGAGCAAAACTGTTACTAACCTTGAGAACTCTCTCTGGAGAGCTTGAAGTCTGGCGCGACATCTCTCAGCCTCTGTAGCTGAAGACCTGAGTCTGCACTCCGAGTCCAACCTGAGTCTTCTCTCTCTGTCGACGTCCCTTTGTAGCACCTCTCGCTGCAACAGAACAAATAAAACATAAGTCACTGGAACACGTAGCTAACTGCTACAGAAAATTACGAACCAAAACATCGTGGTCTCACCCAAATGAGAAGATTAGTATTGAAAATAGTGTTAATACATCCCTACTTGTCAACATCTAATATAATTGAACATAGCAACAAAGGTTTTTTTAATTTAGACTATAGAACTCCAAATAAATCAAACTTAAATAAAACTTTTACCCAAACGTCCTTTTATCAAATCAGACGTGAAGGGTCAAGAAAGACTTATGAAGACTTGTCATCAAAAAGTTGTTGGCGACTTAAAACTTTGTTCCTAACTCTGTTAGCGTTGCCAGCGTTTAAAGTTTGCTTTACTTTTAATAGTTTATACAAAGTAGCAGAAATATTGCATAATTAATTATACTAGCTGTTACCCACGGGCTCCACCCCGTTTTACTACATTAGTATTAATAAAACTATTGATTGGTTAAGTTAAGATGAAATAAACAAAACAGAATACAGTAATGGTAATACAAACAAATAATAACAGCTGAGGTATTTTTAACATTAGGTAAATGGAAAGTTCCCTTTGGAAAGCAATTACGACCTTATAGGGCAATTTATGAAATAATGGATACTTTTGCGCAAGGTTTCTCGTCATGACGAACATTTTAAGTATATGGTTTATGGGGGTGTGACTTGTAGTTTTCTCAAAAGTTCATGGGTACTTTTGGCTTTATATATAGATTTGCTGGAAAAATGGTTTATTGTTCAGTTTATTTCGGACACAAAAGGTGTATAGTTGTCGTTTAGTTTTTATGGGCGTTTAGTTACAAATCTGTAACTTGTCCTAAAGGGAACTCTCATGGTTATGCCAGTCGTTTAATAATATTCTTATAATTACTTAGTTGAGACATCGACGTACCTTTTGCTGTATTTTAATCTAAATATAAGTTCAATGTGATTTTAAAGTGAAATGTGTAAAATAACCTTCTCTTAGGAAGCAACACTTTGAGTGAAGTAGAATATTATCAATATCTAAACGGGAAGGATTGGCGTATCTTCACAAAATACATTAGAGAAGCTTGGAAGTATAGATGGGATCTTATAAGCGAGTTTAATTTCTAAATTTTAGGTAAACAAACAAAAACAAAAAACCTTGAAACTCGTTTATTTTTATCTGATTACGTTTAATTCTGTATTATGTTTTGTTATCTATTGAGTAATCTAATTGTGTTTTATTATTATTTTATTTATTGTATAAAAATGTTCATTTCTTTTGTGCTAAATGTTGTTTAAAGACTATTTTAGAAGGCAAAGATTGTGTCAACCAAACAGACGGTTGTTATCAACCATTGTTTAAAAGTGTTATGTTTTTGGATGTACATATTACCTTATCGTTTAATAAAGCACTTACTCATTCATCAAAATAACCTTCTCTTTTAGTTAGGTTTAGTTACCAAAAGCCCAATAACTAATTAAGAATAGTTGAATTCATTTTCGAAACATTAAAAGCTGAATTATTGCCATTTAGATTCGCCAAAAAAGCTTTTGTTAAGGTATTATAAAAATAATTACATTTTAAACCAAGCTGAGTAATTAGGAGGCATTAGAAAATAATACGATACACGAAGTTTATTGGTTTATTAGTCTAGGGATAACGCCCCTCAATACTGTGTTGACTAAACTGTCTGCTAGTTTGGGAGTTTACCCGTTCACAGCCAGGGGCGCTTGATGTATTGGCGCAATTTAGGACTAATAACTCTTGCCCCAGGGTACCATGGATTAAACACACTACGTCATACAGCTATCATCCCAATGGTTAACCCGGGGAAAATTTTAAGGCATACTTTTTATGTATACAGGGTTTGCTTACATGTTTCATATTTATTTCGGCTGCACTTTACTTTACTCCTACATTCATTCGAATGAAAAATATCGATATATCGATTATTCGAAATATTGGTTATTTCATTCGGTTAGTTAGGTAAGGTTAACCTAACTAACCGAACTTGATATATCGAATGAAATAATCGATATATCGATCGATCTATTCAGCCGAATGAGTGTAGGACGTAAATTAAAGTGCAGCCAAGATAAATTAACCCTTAGCTAGAATCATTTAATCGCCATAAACTGCCTGCCATATAAGATATGACATACGTTAAAGCAAACCTAAAATTTCACATTAGGATGAGAAACTATAGTACCCAAATTCAAAGACGATACAGTATGTACGGACATTTAGGTCATTAACATTAATGAGATTGAAAATTTACTCGGAACTAAATTAAACAACAGATACAATTAAGATGTAAGTATACATTATTGAATTATTGTTGTTAGTACTACCCACATACAAATAATAGTGTTTAACCAGACCTAAAGCTCGATTCAATTTAGTTATTGTACCAAGCTAGGTTAAATATAACTGTACATTAAACATATCAACACTTAATTTCCATAAAATGCTACTTATTAAAAGCAAAATATACACAAACCAGAAAAGTTATCTATATATTTATTTGAAACTGTTTTTCTTTGTGACAGCTATTTTGAGAGAACGGCTGGGCGTAGAAACTCGGTAGAGGTGTCTAAAGAAAAGTCCTGGTCTGTAGATGAGCCATCAAAAGAGAAACATGGAGAATTCCCTCGGGGCTCTGCCCCAGTGGCCTTTAAATTCCCATCCCATGTTATCCTTATGGAGGAAAACGAGGTTTTTGTCACAGCTAATTTGAGAGAACGGCTGGCCGTAGAAACTTGGTAGGGGTGTCTAAAGAAATGTATTGGTCTGTAGGTGAGCCCTCAAAAGAGTAGTGGTGAACTACCGGTATGACCCCACTTTAGGCATGTTTTTCCCATGTTATTCTTATGGGGATCATTTTTTAGCCACCAAATCCAAAAATCCTGATCTTCGCCTGTACACCCCAATATAAATGTTCAATACCATTGTATAACTTCATTACTATTTCAAATCCACATGCATTCACAAGTATATTCTCAAAATCATCAACTTGACAGTGTGAGGTTTGTACGTAAACCATTGATATATAACTACTGCGTAAACTCGGGCATGCTGCTGGCCTTGAGTGCGACCGGTCTTCTCACTTTCAACAGCGACACTAACAACACATCAAGGCTACTTCGGGTACCTCCGCCAAGGTTCGGTGATCCTGAATGCGCAAGTGTTGAGACCACTGCAATTAATTATGCAGACAGCCCAGTCTCAGACATTCTATTCGTTGCCGAGACAGGTGCGCCGTGCCAGACGTCTAGACAGGTGCGTGGTGCCAGATGTCTAGACAGGCGCGCGGCATCGGACGTATTGACAGTGATTGATGTGATGACAGGTGACAGGTGTTAAATTAAATTTGTACTTTCATATTTTAATTTTCTCCAGAAATTGTTAAAATAAATTTTACAAATACACTGCAATTGTTAAAAATTATTTTATGAATTCACTCGCTGGGAATTATATAAAAAGGCGGGGAAAACCGGTTCCTTCAGTAAGTCCCCTTCCGTCGCAGCCAGCGCAGCCATCTTGATCTCTCTCCTCTGGTAAGTTTTTTTCACATGCGGGGCTGGGCTAGTGGAAGGCGTCGGCACCGTGGACTTGTCTAGACATCCTACGCTGCCACGCCCCTGTCTCGGTAGCGAATAGAATGTCTGAGACTGGTCTGTCTGTATAATTAATTGCAGTTGTATGGACACTTCCTCGCTTGCTCGTGCGGAAATGACTTAGTTAGGTGACTGCCTGTCTGTGTATTTATTATTTGAAACTTAGAGAGAGTATTTTTCAAAAGACTTGTGACAGTGAAACTTAAACATTAAAGTCCTAATTTTTGAACTTAGAAAAATTGTACAGGATTTTTCTTTAAAACTTATTATTTTATTATTATTATTTTATTATTTTTATTATTATTTTTAAAACATTATTTTTCTCTAATGACACTTTGTCATTTTTGTATAACTTCCACTATGTTAAAATATAACAAGCCCTGATTTTTATACAATTAGCTGAATTTCACTCATTAAGGTTAACACTGCTCTGTGTCGCTCCACTCAGCATTCTGAATTGCTAAAAAGTATTCTTTTATTTAACAAATTTAACCTTTAAGATTTAGTTTTGATTTTGAAAATTGCAATTGTCAAATCTTATTGTATAAAATTGTTTTGAATATTGAAATTTAGAATTCTGATTTAAACTATTATTTCTCATTAATTGAAATTGTCAAAATGTAATTTATACTAAAGAGTATTTCTCAACAGTTACTATGGCAGTGAAACTTAAACATTAAAATCCTTATTTTTGAACTTAGAAAAAATTTTACAGGATTTTTCTTTAAAACTTATATTATTTTTCTCTCATGACACTTTGTCATTTTTGTATAACTTCTACTATGTTAAAATATAACAAGTCCTGATTTTTATACAATTTGCTGAATTTCACTCATTAAGGTAACACAGGTAACATAGGTAGTTTTCTCTATAGCACACACTGTATAAATGTAGACTCAACATTCTGAATTGCTAAAAAGTATTTTTTATTTAACAAATTTAATTTTTGATCTAGTTTTGATTTTGAAAATTGCAATTATAAAATCTTATTGTATAAAATTGTTTTGAATATTAACATTTAAAATTCTGATTTAAATTATTATTTCTCACTAATTGAAATTGTTAAAATGTAATTTCAACTATATAGAAGATGCCAACCTAGTTTTTTGTTACATATATAAAATGAAGGCTACATGTCAACACTGCTCTGTGTCATTCTCCACCAAAAGTAACCTGATTCGCCACTACAATTTGATACATCAAATCAAGGTAAAACTGTGTAAAGTTTGTAATTTAATCTGTGATAGTAACATAGCTCTAAAATCTCATATATTAATAACTCACAAGACTTGTAGTTTCTGTAAAAGAAATGTTGTTGGTCATTTTAAAAGACATGTACATTCTTGCAACAAATGTCCATATACAATGATTAAATTTGTTGGTGAATCGATTAAA